AGTACTCTGTCCTTCAAATAGAACTTGGACCTAATTTTGACTAAATGTGGTAGAAACTGCATTTTCTGGTTTTGTGTGAATAGGCAGCTGCACCATGAAGTAAGATTTTTAGTTAAAGCTGCACTGAGSTCAGTTATGGGATGCYTGTTGCTGGCACAATGTTCCTGAGMTGGATGTTAGACTTGGTGGGGGTCTTCTTGCTTTCCCTAGAGATAATGAGAAACCTCAAGGCAGCAGTGATGACAGCAGAAGGAATGATTGCCACAAAGAGGGTGACGTCATTTCACCTCATGGCCTTAGATAAGTTATTAAGTACCATTACTTAATCATGCTCTGATAAGATTGATACATAATCATGCYCTGATAAGAGCTTCAAAACATTTAATAAATGCAATACTCGCGTCTGCCCAACACAGAGTTTTTTGCACAACATGTAGATCTTAGTTTTTTAAAGAAGAAAATCCCTTTTCTGTCTGGAGTTTGTCAGAATTTTTGGCTTGTGGTGCCTGAGGCTGAGCCATGCAGGAGCTTCCAGCCCTGCATGGCTGGGATGGSTGCATCGCTGCCTCCACCTCCTGGAGAAGACAATGAATGAGGGATTCTGGGTTTGATGCATTTTTTGTGACTCTTTTACTTGATTTCTTCTGATTTTCTTTGGTTTTTTTCTCCTGCTCTAGTCTATGTTTAGTGAAGACTTTTTGTCTCYTTCATCCCATTCTCTCAATTTATTKTTAGTATTATCTGAAGGTCTTTTCTCACTTATGTTTCTTTAAAAAAACTAATTTGAGATCCATGGCAAGCAGATGAAAAGGCTGCTTACAGAGTCATTTCATCAAAGCATCCAGGAAAAGTGAGGATACACACTGTGGGAATGCATCAGGAAATACAGGCAGCGACACACAAGTATGACCTTATTATGTGTAAAGTCACCCAGCACTGAAGTGTGAGGGTTCTCTAACAGCACAAAATGCAGGCCATGCACTGTGGTTTGGCAGGGAAGAAGAACACACTATTTATAGTGATTTTGTTCTGCTAAGACACCAGTGCAAATATTGTTGTTTATTTTTCTCTAAGTGCAACAAATGCCATCTGATCTCTGCTTCTAAAATCTACAATAGTTTTTRGAAAAATCTTATTGCACCTGTAGACTGATTTTCCAATTTTTGCAGGCAGTAAATCCCTCCTTGCTCTTACAAAAAAAAAACCAAAAACACATTTTTCCTTATCAGTGCCAAGTTAGTAGAGAAATTCCTGGTCATAATGCCACAAAAAGAATTAGAAGCAGGAACAGACAAGCTGCTGAGTAACAGCAGCTGTTAAGCTGTGTGGGACTGGGRCTGCAGATGCTGTTATTTCTCTGCCGTCTCAGCACTTCTGCCTTCTTTCCCTTCACAAAGGAGTAGGTGTGGACACACAGGAGCACACGGTTAGTGCAAGCCAGTGACCTTGGTCTGCAGGGTGCAGGGTGAAGCTCTTTGGTGAAAGAATGAGTATTCCYTGTAGGAGAGGAGCTGGCGAGATTATTCCCTCCTCTCCCTCTAGATGCCAGCAGAGCACTTGCCTTGCTGTGAGGCATTGCCTCCTGGATGTGTTTCGTAAGAACGGTGTTAATTTGTTGTGCTGCTTGATTGCTTTTTAGAGAGGTTGGGATTAACAGACTGTCCTGCTCAGAACAAACTCTGCATCCTTTGGAGAGCTGATAAAAAGAAAAAGTATCAGGAGTTTAAACATGTTCTTTTATGAATATGTTCCCACAAACACGAAACATGTTCTCACCTGTGATCTATCTCTCTGTATTTCACAGGTAAAGAGCAAATCAGAGGCTTCTTGGCAAGCAACATCCCGAGCCCTCAGAGGCTCCTCATTTCTAACTCCACACAAACATGTTGCTCCAGAGATCCCTGTGGAGGAATATGGCCGTTCCAGAGCAGTGCTTGAGAGGGAGCATCGTAGTTGAACTGGTGCTTCCTTCCATGAAGAGGCTGATGGAGCCTGGGATGTGGTGTGAGCTCCCTGTCTTGGGCTGCATCATCTCTCAGTTGGCTCATTTAATGCCTGTCATACYTCTGGCCTGGGACAACTCTGAAAGTGGGATTCCTTCTGGCACTGAGATGGATCAGSCTGAAGCACTATATCCTGCTGCTCTGGGCTTTCCCACCCATCTGCTTACAAGGTTTGCTTACAAGGCTCTCAGGAACTGCTCCTTTAAATGACATTTGTTGCACCAAAACCAAGGTGTCTGTCTGTTCCCTCATAACCAGTGGGAGTTCTGACCCTTAAAGAGCTTTTTTTTTTTTTTTTTCCCCCTGTATGGAGAGGATCAGCTCCATTTCCCAGAGTGTTTCCGCTGGGAGGCTGTGGGACTCAGTGACTGATTTTCAAGTGCAGTTAATGATAGAGCATTGTGCATTTCTGCCATGACAACCAGGGGATGCACCCGCAGACACTGTTGGCAATTGTGGACTTTCTTTGCTTCGACTTGGATTTCTTCTTTGGAAAGAAGGAAAACACTGACAAGTGAATGGAGAAGGATCTTTATAAGACTTTCCTCTGAGAAAGAAAAACCAGAAAAAAAAGCTACACAAGCTATTAAAAACTTATTTTGATGTTCTCTGCACTTTCTCCAAATGATCTTCCTCTCCGAGAAAAAGAATAAGTGAAACTGCAAAACAGTAAGTGAAGTATTAGTTATATTTTTTTTGTATGTTGTTTTTTGATAGCCTTTAAAAATTGTTTCAGAGATGTTTGTGTATTCCAGTCTCGCTGCCGAAGGCTGATGTCTTTGAARCTGGAGGTACAAACAGTATTTGCTGTTGGGCGCAAGCAGGAAAAGGGGGAGGAGCAAGCAGGCGGAGCAAAGCTGGGCAGCTTCCTAACGTGGTTTCATTGGGAAAGTTTCCGTTCTGCTCTCGGGTTGCTTTGCTYTCCTCACTGCCCCCGTCCTGAGCAGTGCTGTGAGAACTCCCTCCTCTGGGAACTGAATGAAGCTGATCATTACTAAAATAAATTCCAGTGAAAATATAAAGTGGCATTATAAAAAAAAAAAATCTACATTTGAAGCACTGATACTTCTCACAGTGTCAATAAATAAAAATCCCATGTTTTTAATCCTTCTGCTACATCTCTTTACTAGTGGAAGGGTTGAGTGTGGCCAGGCAAAAGAAAGGCGCTGCCCTTGGGCCATGGGTGCTTCAGGATGGTTCTATATCAGATGAATTGAGGGTTATTAACTGAGCTATTGAGGGTTACTTAAAGTTGGAAGAACTAGGGGTTTSTGGGAGTAGGACATGTATATTTGTGTGGCTCCCAGAAAGGGCACTTTTAAAGAAAGGGAGGCTTTGATATGTTGCCTTGGCTGTGAAGTTCAGGAGAGACTGGAGTGAGAACTGGTTGGAGAAATCAACTGTGATAAATCTTCTAGTTCAGTGATTAAAGGGTAGTGAGATGTGTCCTCTCAGAATCTCATTTTAAATTATGTCCTCTTGCTTTGGACAAACTCATAATTAAGTTGGAACAATCTTTATTTTCAGTTGCAGTATCTTTTTTTCCTGACCTCCTCTGGAGCTAATCTTCAAGACAACATAAATTTAATATTCACAAATCTCTTATTTTGCTCCACTTAGTTTCTGTTTCTGTTAAAATCAAACACCCCAGTCAAGGTCTCTTAGAGCTATGTTGTACAAACACAAGGGAATACATGATCTTTGCCCCAGTTTGGGATAATGAGTCTTTGACTCATTTGCTTACTTTAAATGACAATCATCTGTACCTGTTCACTAACCCCTCCAGAAAATGCAGAAAAAATCCAGGCCAGAAATAAATATAAAAAACTAGGTCCAAACAGAGAGGTCTGAACTACCAGAATGTGAAAAGTGATACTGTCCTGTCTTCTCCATTTGCATTTAATTTCTATTCCGAATTTGAGTCATGGGGCTCAGGACAGACATGGCAGGAATCTGTGTCTGTCCAGTGATAGTGTCATTCACAGTGCCTTGCTGGGAAAAGGACGAATTCCCAACAAAGAACTGCAAGCCCATAGTGGTGACAAAGGCACAAGCCTCCTTCTGCCACATACGAAATGAAAGTTCTTAGGACATCAGAGAACACAAATTTACCACAATAAAAACATTTCTTTACTACATGTTCCAAGTTTGTTCCAAAACAACAAAAGAAGTTAATTTCTGAGGCTAAACATTGTAGATGGTAAAGACAGTACCAAGATTCATGTCTTTAAAAAAGAACAGAACAGAGCTGTGTAGCTTTTATTTCTGTTAATACTGAAAGCATTAAAACCCCAAAAGAACAGATCAGAGACTCTTTTACACTGTGCAGCACCTTCCCCTCAGACTTCCGGGGGTTTYATGCACTGTGTCTGTACAGCAGTGTACAGCAGCAGGAATGGGCAGCTCCTGGAACCGAAACCTATGGGGAAATATCAGATCAGGACAACTGCCTGACCTTAAAAAAACATCTCTGAATTTTAATGGCAAGTTCAAAGTTGGGATTATCAGCATCTCTTACTATTATTGTATAGAAATTGGCACCCAAGAGTTCATTTGAAAGATGTCTGCAGAACTCTTTGCTTCTAATGGAGGGCATTTGGATTTTTCAAGTCTCAGCAACACACGCATTAAACTGTTTCATTACTTGGCTTTTTGCCACTGTATGAGGTAAATCATCAGCCACTAAATCTGCAGATGGGATGGATGATTGGGACAGGAACATCCTCTCTGCTTAAAATCCATTGGGAAACAAATGTTAACATGCTTCCCTCCCCACTTCTGTGGGTCACTGCTATACTGCAAACCCCCCACTGCCTGTGAGCTGGCATTGGGGAAGCACTTGGGAGACTCAGTTATGGACAACATCATAAAWAGTCAGAAGAAAATAATTACTCCAGACCCACAGGCTGTACAATCTGTTATTACAATTAAATTTCATATTTCTTTTTCCTGAAATTAGGTGATCACCTGCATCCACTTCAGTTATTTAAYGGACTCAGATCTGCACAGCACTTTGTCACTGAGCCCACTAAGTCCCTTCAACTATACCCCTTTTTTTGGATAACAYYTTTAAAAAACTGARCCCACAACTTTGCTCTGTGAATAARARCAGAGTGTGTCTTGCTCAGCTAAATGCAATTTGGATTACAGCTCTCATCTGTGTTCATGAGATACKAAAYGCAGACAGCTGGCCAGGCAGCCTCTCACTGTGTGAAATTTATGCTACTCTATTTGTAGGTGRTTATAAAAACAACTTTTCAAGTTTAGTGTCTAGGCTTGCTGCTGCTTAGCACAGGAATAGGAGTCCAAAGATTTTTTTCTGGTTGACTTCATTCATTGTTTTGCTTTTTTTGGTGGTTTTCTCTCCCTTAGAAACAGCACAGTTAAAAAATCGGATGGTTCATGGTTTTGTTGAAGAACATTTTCAGTCTCACAAAAACAGACCAAGATGATGGAGAACAGTGTGCTTTGACTGTGTAGAACAATAAYTCAGAGCTAATTAGTGGTTTGTAGTTTTAAGGGATAATCAAATGCTGGGTTCTTGTAGGAKACTAAATGTGTACCATACTGCTCACTCTGAGGTTTTTTACACACCTTACACAAACATACAGACAAAATAATTGTGGTAATGAGAAAGAGTCCACTTGCTGCAGACAGAGCAGCAAAGACATACTTGTAGCTGGGTTTTGTTTTAAATCTGGTGCACGAATTACCTGGAATTTCCTGGCCTGTTGTCTGGCTTGACCCTGCTCTGTTGGAAGCAGTCACACAGATCTGGTAAGTGGTGTAYGGTAGCAGGTTATACAGAGTGTACTGCCTGGCTGTGGGGTAAATGTTGTCCATGACAAACTGYCTGTCCTCATTGTCTTGAGCATGAAGCATCAGCTCATAGGTGTGAACAACTGAATATGGRGCGCACCAGCGTATCTGTGCAGAGCTGTCTGTGATTTCAATCACCTCTCTGAGCCTGGGTGGGTCTGGAATCTCATCTTCACTTGACATGCCTGGACACAAACATTGGGAYACATTCTGGAGTTCACTGCATGGCTTCTGCAGGTGCCTGCAAGGATTGTAGTCACAGGTGATGGGGGCCAGTTGCACTGAGGTCTCCTTYGGTGGTTGTTCATTGTAATCGTAGTCATCGACATAATGGGGCGATGATGTGGTGGGTGCAGGCTCTGACTGAGCACTGCTCCTTGTGTAGTTCAGCTGTGGGGGACTCGTTTGGGGGCCATCTTCCCTGGCATGGGTGGCAAAGGAGTGAATGTGATGGTCAGTGGTGTGGAGGACTCCTGTTGCTCCATTGAAATAATCGCTGGTGGTCTGGTTGAATGGCTCTTCCTGGGGAAATGTCGCATCGGTTGTTCTGAGACCTCTCTGTAGCTGTTTTGTTGCAGTTTGACTTGTGGAGCTGTGATCTGAGAACTGAGCAAAGAGCTCTTTGAGAAAAACTGGGAAGGAGGTTACAGATGCCAAGGAAGGGGGATTGCTTGTGGATTCAGAAACCACCTCCTCCTTGTGGGAGGAACTGCTGGCCTTTGTTAGMATCGGCTCTGTTRSGTTAGATGCTGCCRTGCTCATCACATYCCTCTGGATTAGGGAGCTGGTRTAGGTTTCTTTGGTTAGTGTYGGGTTTGATGCTGCTGTGCTCATCTCATTCTTCTGGAWYAGGGAGCTGGTATAGGTGTCTTTGGTTAGTGTTGGGTTTGATGCTGCTGTGCTCATCTCATTCTTCTGGAACAGGGAGCTGGTATMGGTGTCTTTGGTTTGTGCTGAGTTGGAGGCTGCTGTGCTCACTACATCCCTCTGGATTAGSGAGCTGGTGTGAGCATCACTGGTCAGCAGTGCCGAGTCTGTTACTACAGCAGTGGCATCGTAACTGGTGAAGTTGAAGGCATCATAATCAGGAGAGGCTGTGTTTGAATTRGGGAGTGTAACATTGCTCTCAGACTGGCATTTATTGTAGAGCTCCAGTAGTGAAATAGATGTTGAAAGTCTGCCCGAATCTTCCTGGGGTGTGCAAAAGGTATCCTGAGCCCTGCAGAAGGAAAACAGAATAATCAAGATACACAAGAATATTACAGGCCTCTGTAGGCTGCTTGGATTGGAATTGTCGACCTGCTGTCAAAAAACAGTCTTTTATTAGTGAACACGTGAAAACTAGACCAAAACTAGGTTGTCTTAGCAATGGTCCAGGAAGCTTTCCACAGCATTGGCTGTGGTATTTAGCTGGAACTGGCTTTTTGGTTTTGTAAAAGGTGCTTCCCCTTTGCCCGAGGGGAAGCATCCTTTGGTACAATGGCTGTGAACCTCAGTAAAGAACATTGGGATTCAAGCCAGCTTGTCTTAAAGGGTCAGACTTYAATGCCACAGTAACAGGGGAACACATGCAGAGAGATGTAACAGGATTCCCAGGATCCTTGATCCAGCTGGTTTAGGCASCTAGAGGTGGGCTGATGCAGGACTTTTAAATGACTAATCTTGAATTCTTTATTTACTCAGTCATTGAAGTTTTTGGTAAAGAATGCAACTGCTAAACCCGATGACAAACTATCTAATTTCAACAATCTACTTCCCTGCTCTCTGAGAGATTTGATGACAAATTTTCTTGGTGGCCTTTCAAAAGGAAGAGAGACCATTTATATGCAAATATTTCTYTTGACTACAACTTATTGTAATTAGTCTGTAAAACCGTAGGAGAGCATGAAAACAATAGGTGAGAAATGGTGCTATTTGCAAGTTTTGTTGACTGCCGGTGGTGATGTAAGGGTGGTGACTGGGGATGGCAGGGTGAGGAGGAAATAATTTGTTAAAGATCTTCCAAAATTTTCCAGTTTCTGCTTCCAGAAGTGGCACATCAAGACCACTCATTTTCTATTTTCACCTAATAGTGAACTATGGTCCAAAACAGAAAGAAAATATTCTCACCTTAAAGTAGAATCCACAGCTAATAACACTTTGTGCTTTGTCCCTGAAAGGGACATTATTTTGCATTTCTTCCTCTTGTGGAAAGGAAGAACACACAAGAAATTTGAATAATTTAGTTGGTGGTGAATGTCTGGTCCCTAAACAACACACACATTGAAGTTGTGTCTGAAAAGCATTACTTTATCTCCTTGAGCTCACTTACTTTTGCAGAACAATTTTCTTGGGCTTGGACAGCAGCCAGGAGAGCTGGCAGTTGCACAGTAGAGGATTCCCGTACAAGTTGATTGTGATGCCACCCGATGAATTGGTGTTCCAAGGATTAAAGGAACTCAGGTTACAGCTACAGGATGACAAATGCAATAATTAGAAAACACTGAGCGTTCCAAGGACTGGACTGTACTTAGTATTCCAATGTGTAAGGCACAAAGCAATATTCCCAGTTCCTTTGGCAGTAGCTACCACCCTGCACTCTGCATGCTTAGAAGATGCTCTCTTTTTTTCTAGGACTTTATAACTCTTACCACATTGAACTGGTATTCCTGCAAGTGTTGGAAAGTGCTGTGTAAATTCAGTGGGGCATTCAAGTGGGGATGGAATCCATAGAGTTTTTTTGCTTTAAATCAGTTTATTTTCCTGAAGCTGGTTTCTAGGCACAGCCAGTGCTCCAGTGTTTGTTTTCTGATACGCTTATAATCTGGGCTGGTATTATAGAAATCTTTTAAAGTGCTCTCCAATTCTTTTCATTTAAGCTGACTGCTCTGTGTGTACTTTACCTGCTCTTATTTTGACAAATCACTCCCAGACTTTTTGTCTCGCTCAGTATTTCAGGTGTGTGACATACCAAGAGGTGTTACCTCTAGGATAAGGACTAAACCATTGCTTATATTAAGGAACTACATTAATCTGTCACACTAAAAGTGGGAGAGGATTTTTTTCTGCTTCCAAGATGCAGATTTTAGGAAACTGTCAGCATTCATCCTTTGTAAAGCACGGAATCCCCAGAGACCCACTTCTCTTCTGACAGGATATTGCCAYTGCAGGTGTTGGAAGCCTGGTCTGGGAACCCAGACCAGGAACTGGGTGAATTCATCCATTGGACAGGGAGATGAGGCAGAGGAATGYGAGTGCAAGGGATACAATTTCAAGCACACAATTAATTGTGCTATGAGTCCCATGCTGTTTCTTTGGGCTGTACCGGCTCTATAAGGCCAGATCACAGGTTTTACKTGGCATGCCCACATCTCCTTCTCAAATCTGATAACATGCAAACTGTTCAGGCCAGCTCCCAGGCACCACGGTACTGTCAGGCAAAGCAGTGTTATGTGGGGAAAAACAAAAAAGAKAATAACTCACTTTTCAAATGAGAGATGGCTCAGATAAGGAGCATTGTCAAACATCCCTGTCTGCACAAAATCCAGGGAATGGGAGTCCTGACAGTGCAGCTCTCGGAGACCAGGCAGAGACTTGAAGAAGTCACTATCRAGGCTTCTTAACCGTGGCATCTTTGTCAGGTAAAGTGATCTGAGGTTGGGCAAATCTCTGGCCCACCCTGGTTGAACTGAAACAGAAAAATATTTACACCTGTTGCCTAAAGAGCACATTCCTGTGGATTTCTGCCTAGAAAAATGATTTGAATTCATTGATATAAAACATCTGTCACCTTCTGCAGCTATTCTCTTTGGGAAAAGAAKAGAACAATCAATACACCAGTGTATAAACACTCATGCAGCTGCATTKTTGTAATATTCCCCACAGATCAGGCTGTCATAGGGCAGAGGAAGAGAAGGGAAAAGAAAAGATAATACAGCTGATAGGAGATATGGAATAGCTTTCTTCTTGGGTGAGATTAAATGAATAAGGATTTCTCCTTATTCATTTAARGAGAAGGATTGCTCAGAAAACTGGTGAAAATTAAGAGAAGTCTACAAGGTTCTCACTGGTACAAGACAGGAAACCACTTATTTCTCCTAGCACAGGAAAAMCAGCCAAGAGGCATGAAACTGAAGGAATAGGTCTTGTACAAAAGGGCCTTTCCATCYCATGACTCAATAGGGTAACTCACTACCACAAGAGGGATTAGGGAAATTCAWGGATGAAATTTGATGGTGCATTTGYTAAATGTGAGTTGAAGTGAAACCTTTAGCTTGAGGAGCCCTGGCTCTGCCCCAGGCTGAGAGCAGYTGGGCAAGGCATCTCACATCTGTGTGCYTCAGCACCTCAGTTATAAACTGATGCTGCAGGGGAGGCAAGCAAAAGGAAAAAAACCTCGTGTGAATTGCTCAGGGCAGGGATTGTCTCCCCGCTCTGCGGAAGTATTCAGCTGGCCGTGGATGGCACAAAAAGCCTCTTTCTGTGCTACTTCAGTGCAGCGCTACAGAGCTGTAGCTGTGGGGACAAAGAAAGATTTCAACTGCCTGTCTGGAAAGAGAAACTAATTTCCTCCTGCCTGTCCCAAAACTAATCCCAGGGCTGACAGGGGGATGACTGTCAGCAGCAGACAGTGGAACTAGGATTGAGGTGGTGACTACACTGGGACAAACAGTGCTGTCTGTCTGGTCTCTGTCCTTCCTTTGGGAGGCTGGTTTCGTGAGAGTGCCTTCCCTGCTTGGGCCAGCTGTTTGCAGCTTTCAGTGTGAGGGATCCCCCCTGCACTCCAGACTCAGCCAGGATGGGATCCATCATCCCAGCAAGGATTCTGCTCCCCCAGCCTACCCAAGCCCCGTGTTTACAGTGGGAAACCCAGAAACTTACTTTTCTCAAGAAAGGTCCCACTCAGATCAAGCACATTGATAGAGTTTCCAGGCCTGTTCATGGCCTCGTTGGGATCTGTGCTGATGGCAAAAGCAGACTCACTAATTCCTCTGCTGTCATCCTGCCCCAGCAGTGTTGCAGAGAGGTTCAAGACCTGCAGCTGATGGTAGCAGGAGAAAGCCAGTGGCTGGATTTCAATCAGTGGATTTCCAGCCAAGGACAACCACCTCAGGTTAGGCAGGGCAGAGCTGTGGCAGGATGGCACAAATGACAGCTTRTTAAAGCTCAAGTCCAGCTTGAGGAGACTGCTGAGGGCTTCAGATCCCCACCTCACTGACCAGAGGTGGTTGTGCCTCAGCGAGAGGACACGCAGCCGTGGGAGGTTTGCTATCTCTGTGCCATTCAACTCTTCCAGGAGGTTGTTGCTGAGGTCCAAGGTCTCCAGGGTTTCTGGCAGACAGATGGGGAAAGCTGTCAGGCTGTTGTTGGTCAGCTGCAGGGTGATCCAGGTCCTGTTCKTCCGATCCTCACAGGACATGCTGTTGAGGTTAACATTCTCCCAAGTGTCTTCCTGAGCCAGCTGGAAAAAGGTGGTGACATCCCTGGATGCTGCTCTGCTCACCGGGCCATATGCTATGGTCCYCGTCATTAGAGAGAGGATGAGCAAAGGTAACAACATGCTTCTCCAAGGTGCTTGGAATTTGCAAGATCTGTTTCATTTTTGTTTCAGGGAGGAAATAACAAAACATCAACATTTAGAGCTAAATTAAAATCCCCCCAGGCATCTACAAACTATTTAAAAATAAAACATTTTCTATAATATCCCTTTCCTGTTATATCCAGCCAGTGATACATGATAATTAATAGTACTTCTGGAACTAAGCCTAAGTAGACATGAATTCTTGGGGACAAAGTACCATAAAGTCTTAGACTAAGTGTGCCTACAGCCTTTCATGCAGGAAGCATGAACCAAGTTGTATCCCACATCAGGAGCCTCAGCGCCAGCAGGTTGTCCTGCTGCATAATGTCCAGTTTGGCAAGCCCAGTGAGAAGAGTTTTCCAGCGGGGTGATGCCTAAACAACAGGGTCAGGGATTGGTTGCAAAGGAGTGAGCAGGTAGAAGTGCTTTTTCTGTGTTGGAAAGGACTTCCCTTACTGTAAGTTGGAACACCAAAACCCTGGGACTCATGTGGGCKCTGCCAGRGCAATTCTGYCCYGTTCYGAGRACAGTCACAGCGGRGACCCCACAGGTGCTTTGGGGCTCYTGAGCAGCTGGCAGTGCCCCACAGCCCGTCTGCTGGGCAGTGGCAGAGACTGGCCCTGCTGTACATGAGAGCCACAGACAGGCTGCACAGCCCAGCTGCTGGGAGAGGATACACTGAAAATGCAGCTCCCAAGCCACATTTCATGGAAGTGGTCAGAAACTGAGTATACTCCTGGATCAGGGCCCCAAAGGCCTGTGTGCCAAAAACCATTTTATTTAGTGTTACAGTTCCCTCTGTGCTCCCTCCTCCTCCCAGCCCAGCTTTGGTCTTTGTCAAAAAAAAAGTCCTAAGTGACTTGTACAAAGTCCCCACAGGTAATCYGTGTCAGAAGAAATAATGAACCCCAGACCAAAAATAGTGCTTTTCTTATTGAGCTGTCTTTTGTGCTGCCCGGCATCAAAATGATCATTCCTCATCCAAAAATATATTACAGTGTAGGGTGGTGACTGAAGCCCCATGTATTATGAAAGATCTCAGACTTATTCCAAAGTTTAATTGCYACTTGCTATTCCCTGAATTATGCTAGGTCTTGCCCAGACCCTTTGCTGCCCTTTGTTACCCTTTGCTGCCATCCCAGGTTTGAAGAAGAGACCAGCAAAATAATGTATTTTGGTTGCCTGTGTCAGATGGAACCGAGCAAGAGCCAAGCMGCCTCAGGGCTTCCCGGTCACCGGAGCCGCTGGATCCCCTGCGCCGCAGCACATGGCAGGGAGAGGATGGCAGGAATTGGACTGCTGTATTCCAGTTTTAGATTTAATCTTAATCCTTGCTTCTAAACCGCATCCGCTTGCACGTACCTGTCCAAAAGTCCTGATGCCTCGTGCCTCTGCTCGGAGTGGCTCCGACTGCCTGGCCTTGATTTTATACACTTCGGGTGACTCAGCCSAGAGCGTGAAATGCCTCTTTTCTGTTCCCAGCTTTCCCCGCTCCCGGCTCTGCCCACAAACTCAGGCGAGGTTTGTTCCAGGCTCGCTCCCCCGCATCCAGCTTTGAGAGGGGGCGGCTCCAGGCAGCTTTCCCTGCTCCCTTGGCCCTAGCAGGAGGTGGGTGGGAGGGCTCTTATTTCCCAACACTCAGGCAGGGCTGCTCCTGTCTGTCTTTGTCTAAGCAGAGGGGGGTAAAGGGAAAAGATCAGTSTCAATAGTCCCAATTCTCACGTCTTACACTGAGAGGGGGAGGGAGAGGAATTGTTGTGTTCCTTTGTTGTCAGGTCAGKATGATGTAAAGCTGAGGCTCTGCCTGCTGACATGAGCTTTGGTCTTTCTTTAGGCGCCAAAGAGGGGCTTCAAGTGTTTAAATTTCTCTCTARGACTCTTGCTCTTGTGAGTAAATCCTGGAAAAGTTCACGCAGGACAAATTACTTTTCTAAGAAGGCCCTTAGGATATGAGAAAAGTGAAACCCTCACCTGCTCCTCCCGCAGAGAGGAATTTTCTCCGCCGATGGAAAGGGCGTGGGGTAGCTCACTCCCCGYGTGACAGCCTTGGGAGGCCTCTCCTCGTCCTGCTGTGTGTGGGTTGTGTTCTGTGTTCTGCATCTGTATTCCACATGGCTTGGGAGAATTCCCTTCCTGCTGTTTTTCTTATTCTTTGCTGGAAAAGTAAAACTGACAGCATAAACCATCTCCCACTGAGGGACATGCCCTGAGCTGGGTTTTTCAGCATTCCCACWAGTCAAATAATAATTAGGTTGAGAGCAAAAAATAAAGTCAGGGAAATGATCCCATAAAGGGTTGAGTTGATGGAGATTGTTCCAAAGTAAAAACAAAAGCGTAGTTGTTTCAGGGAGGTTGTTCTGATGCTACTGTAAGACAACTAATTATTCAAATATCTGAGGAGAACAGTAGTCAGTGCTTTTCCTTTATCGGGACAACAAAACAGATCCCTGATATGAAGGCAGCACAGACCCATAAACTTCGGTGCTAAAGTGCAGAAAAAGRTCTTGCTTGACCAAAAACCTTGAGTCTGAATGTACACATGTACACAGACCTTATCTATTGACCGTGTGGGTCATTATGTGCGTGGGGAGGGAGCCTTGAAAAACACCAGAACATCCCCACCACGAGATAGGGGCTTCCAGTAGGACTCCCTGGAGCCATTGCGGTTACCTTGGAGGCTGGGTGAGGTGCACATGTTGTTCCCCTGTGGAATGGCTCTAGGGCAAGACAAATGGTTTTCTAAATGAGGGGCTAATCCCAGCATTAACCCTGGTGGGGCAGSCGGAGCAGGGCAGCCAGGCCCAGCACGTGTGCACTCGCAGGTACCTGCAGAGCTCTGCACTCTCTGCGGTTCAAAGGGCAAAGTGGAGCAGGTTACAAAAATCTGAGGAATTTGGTATAAGAGGAGGAAAGTCCAGCTCCAGCCAGGCCAGTGGAAATCCTGCTTTCGGCTTCGCAGACCTTCTGGCTGCAGCACTCCTCTTTGGGAAGCCGAGGAGCAGGGAGGTGGCCTGGCTTTGCCCTGGGCTATGAAATACTTGTGTTTGTTGCTCTTAGCGCAGTATTTACAGTGGATTTTCATTGCTTATTTTAGGTTTATTGGTTATCTTATTGCTTTAATGTCTTAAAAAAATACTGCAGGTAACTGGATGAGCCAAAAGCTGCTTTAATTTTAATGAGTTCATCCTGACTTCATTTTGGAGACTGAGAGGAGCAGACTGTCACACTGGTAAAGTGGCTGCTCATTTCAGCGAAGGTGTAATGGAGATGGAGGTTTCGTTTGCCCAGAGGCTCTTGATTTCTGAGTGATACAGAAAACCTGTTTCAAGAGGCAGAGCACCCTTGGAAAATGAGTTTTTAAAATTTTTATTTTCCAGCTTTGTTTCTACTTTTTTTGGGTGCCTAGTTTTTGTGGCAGGTACTGTATCTTCCCAGCTTTTTGCCTAGCTGCAAACTCTCATCATCTGAAATATTTCTGCTATGTGCTACATCTGAGGCAGCTGCCCAGGTATTGGTGAAAGTTTCCCAGGGCAGGCAGCAGCCCTTGTTCACCAGTTTCTCTGCAATATCTGCTAGCAACAGGCAGAGATTTCCCCTTTGTAATTCACTTAGTCTTGTTCTCATGTCACCTTTTATTCTTTTTTCCGCTTTTTTGAGAGTTTCAGTGACAACCTGAGGGAGCAGTTAGCAAAGGCGGGCATTCCTGTCAGCCTTTTCACACGGGTAATGCAAAGAGAGCTAAACCAGACGCCCCCTCCCCGGGGGTGATTCAGGGCTGCACAAAGCCCCTCTGCCTGCAGGAATGCTCGGGCTGAGCCCTGCATTCCTCAGTGACACTAAGATAAGCAGAGCTGGGGCAAGCAGGAGAAGGTGAGGATGGTACCAGGCTGTAAAGTTTAAGAGGTGAATGTTTCTTACTGGCCATCATCCAAATGATGGGTAAGAATGAAAATATTCTRAAAAAAATCTGGAGAACGGCTTTTAAAACTAGCAAAGGAACTATTTTGCAGGCCTGTCCACAGAGTAAGCACAAGCAAGATATTTTCCTACAGAGAAAAGGGAGAGAATGGAAGAACGGGATTATTTAGCCTGAGGTTTCGGAAAACTGTGGGGTGTGTCTCCTAGCACAGGCTGAAGGCAGTGGTGAAATCCCCCACGGAATTTGATGTAAGAGCAGCAGCAACCATCTGACATCGGCAGTGCTTTACCCTGACCTAACTTGGGTTTAATAAAGCACCATGTACACAATACGGTTGCAGCTGAGCTGAGGTGTAAGTTTCCTAAAGGTTTGTTTTCATCTAAGTAACATTCCTATCCAGGATTTCATCTCTGTATTGCAAAACTTCAGGGCAGATACCCTTGTCTTGCTTTCACGCACTCTGGGAAACCTCGCCCATAATATCTGGATATCTGGCACTGTGTAATTAATGATGTGGATTCCACAGCCCACTGAGCCTGTGGTCTTTAAGCCCGTGTATAAATACGTGGAACAAGCCCATGAGAACCAAGTCTGATCAGGTTATTGCACAARTAAGGGAGGACATGGTACCCTCTGTGCGTTAAGGGAATGCCTGGAGCCTGACTGGGATGTGCTCGGTGACATAGAACGGGCTGAAAAGATAACTTGAAGCTGTGGCTGGTGCAGGTGTCAGGCAGAGCAGACTGGTGCAGGCCTCCTCTCAGGTGCTGCCCACCATATCCAGCCTGGAATTACAGAGGTGCAGGACTGCCCTGGGTCATGCCTTCCCACTCCAACCTCTCCCGGGTCTGTTTGTAGGAAGAAGAGCTGCACTCACATGCAGCAYTAAAAGCAGCTATAAATAAGGATAAAAAGTTTCCTTTTCTACCTATTTTTAAAAATCCTTGCAAGGTGAGTGGAGCAAGGAGAGAAGACAGCTGAGTGACCTAAATAAGAGGGAGGAGAGAGGTCATCAGCAGGGGATCAGTCTCTTAACCTAAAATGGCAAAGGGTAGGGCTTGAAGCTAGACTGGATGAGCTGGCAGAGCTCCTCCTTGCAAAGTAGCAGTGAAGGATTTAGTCCAAAGCCAGTGACACATGGGGTAAGATTGAAGGAGGGGCAGGATAGAAAATGGAAATATTTGCTTGTTTCTCTGAAATTCCAGTACAGACAGCTTGGACTGCAAGTGCACGTGCTTGTTTAGCAATGGAATGAGACACACACTCTGCTAATGAGAGCTATGCTCAGATTTCCCATCTCTGCATTCCTGTGCTCAGGTCACGTAGGCAAACGGTAACTACAGGGGTTCCGTGCAATACTCTGTGACAAACTGCCCTGAGYATGGCAAGCATGCAGCTGTTCTTCCCAGTGAGCAATTTACAGGAGCTTATCATTGCCAAATGGGGAACTTCCATGAAAACATTGTCAGCACCCTCACTGCAAAGCCARAGGGGAGGCTGAGTCCTGAAGGCAGCTTTCTGTGGAAGAGACTGGCACTAACTAATATGAGCATTTAGCTCTCCCATGGCACCCTTAGGCTGGCTTTAAATATTGACAGTGTTTGGACTTGGGTGGATCTCACAACATGAGGAAAATACTKGGCTTGTGTTAAGCAGGTGACAAGTGATTAAGTTCTTTACCAAACAAAAACTGGATGGTTCCTGTCCYTCAGCCTGTGTRAAAAGTATTGAGGAGAGGGAAGAAYAGAAGGCTGGGAGGCAGGCTGCATTCCTTTTCTTTTTTTGTAAAATGTAAAGCTGTAGTTTGTTTAACCTGGCACAAACTGGGAGTGATTCCACTGAAATCTCTGATAGGGCCTGGAGAAAAGCACAGGACATGGCATGAAAATCTGGRCTTTCTGTTTCCGGTAATGTTTATGAATTTATGTAGTGATTTCTGCAGCATCTCTTGGTAATATAACAATACCTGCCCATTGTATTTCTTTAGGTATGTGAATCCAGTTTTGGTTTGTCCATCAGTTTAATGAATTCTGTCCTTTCTTTACTGATCACTCTACATTGCAGGATAGAATCAAATTTCACCTTGATGGATGTGTGTGGCTTCATCCAGCAGGCAGAGCTGATGGCTACAGATCTGGTTCCTCAGAGGCATTCAGTTTCTCTGGGCAACCCATACCAAGGCCTCACAATCCTTACAGGAAAGAACTTCTCYCTAATATCCAATTCAGCCTTCTGTCAGTGGGAAGTCATTCTCCCTTCTGCCCTTGTCCAAAGTCCCCCTTCAGCTCTCTTGTAGGCCTTTCAGGGGCTCTCAGGTCTCCCTGGAGTCTTTTCCAGGCTGAACATCTCCATCTCTCAGCCTCTCTCCAGAGGAGAGGGGATCCAGCCCTCTGAGCATCACTCTGCATTCTGCAGCACACATATAAGATCATTTCTATAGGTATTTCAGACCCTCACACATGAACAGCTTAGTTCAGTGAGATGTCACAGTGAAACAGAGTAACAGGGACAGAAAAYAGAAACTCATACTCAGAGGCCTCTTTAGTAATTTTAGAAGGCTCCTAAAGCACATTTTTTGACCAGGTAAGTGACAGTGTTCCTCAAAAGTTGAACATTTTGGATCCTGTTTTGCCAAGAAGAATGCTCTGCAGCTTCTCTCACTTTC